GATACAACGCGTGTAAATACATGTTACATGGAATACGAACACGCGCTGATCGAATACCACCGCCCTTTGATAGTAAACTAGTTCCTACTAATAATAATCTTTATTTTGGACATTGACTCAAAAGAAAATTATACTAAACAGAAATAACTAAGAAAGAAGCAAACATGCAACTGAAAATGCTTTTAAGAAAATAATAATTTACTTTGGGTGGTTGGCAGTATCAACATAAAATTACGCCCTCTATAGGAATTTAATATAGAACGGTCGTTTATGGGTACACAACATTTACTAACCATGAGCACACTCGGGCCTGACATTTTGGTCGTAGAAAGAGCCTTTATATGATTCGAAGTTATCACTAGAGACTGAAAGCATGGCATAAACAGATCCTGGCGCACTGTGCCACTGCTGTGTGGTGAAATGAACGACTCCTGCAAACATATAAAGTACATTCATTCAATATTGATGTACATTAGTGAAGTCATCTCAACAACACCCAATCCAGTGCGCTCTTCTAATGGAAATCACGAGTACGTGTTTTGATCTTAGATCGATGACTCCTTCTGATACCTCCCAAACTAAAGTCTTGGATGCGTTTCAGTTTGTGCTCGTGGTTCGGTGCAACAGTCAAAGTCGCCATCTTTGTTCATATGAGATCCATATCTCGCGCATGCGTGGCAAGACGACCACTGCCCTTTAATTGTTGGGTCTTTTCATAATGAATTTGAAACTCACAAATTTGACGAATTCTAAAATACGAGGTGTGAAATATAAAATAAAAATACAAAAAAACGTACGTCGTTAAATAAATATGCGATAATATGTTATACTATTACTGAGTTGTAGAAAAAACTGTCTCTGAACTAATTAATCAATGAAATACATTATGTAAATCGATGTGACAAATATGGAAAAAGGAACCTTTGCTTTACAATACTCAAGGGTGATAATGAAAATTTTAGTATCGTGGAAAATTGTGTTTTTATTTTCAAGTTAGATATTAAAATGAACCAGCCTGGTTTAAGCAGAGCTTGAGCGTTTTGTGTTGTATTTTTCTGAGTCACACTTACTATAGTATGTAAGCTGTATCACATGAATGAGATTGAAAATAAAATCCATTTTTGATATCATATCCCCCCAGACCAAAAAAAAAAAATATTATTTGTAAAAGCTATAAAGTGCATTCCCAGCTTCAGTTATTTATCAACTCAAAATAAATGTGCAACATTTCCATCCTAACCCGACTTGGCCATGCGTACATTAAAAACAGCATATAATAGACAGCAACACCTTCAACCAACTCAAAATTCCTCGAAAACTGTCCAAAGATACGATATTATTGAGGGTGTTTTAGTATTTTTGAATTATTAGACAGTTACAGAAATTGTTTTGTAACTTACAGTGTTCCATTTTGTTCTTAGTTAGTTGAATGTAATTATTTATTTATTTATTTTTATATATAAATAAACGTTTATTTATTTATTTGTTTGTTTTTGTTTTATTTTTTTTGTCTAGTTTATCTATTTGTTATGTAACCATTTAAATTCCTCTGTGTAATTGTATGTGTTTCAATAAAGTGAATACAGTATACACTATACTATTCTATTGATACTGTATGCTTTTGAGTTAATATTTTCTAAATTCTATATGACGAACGTATCACAACCAGATAACTTCATCTGTGCGTCATTTTGAAACCACAGAAGCGTTCAGCGTAAGAAGACGCGATTATTTGAAAAGATGTTTGTGTATCATGAATATGATATTTAACTGACATTCAATAACAATTCAAACAATAATTGCGTTGTCAGTATCAAATAATTAGCATGAACAATTGGCCTAAACGCCCGGGTAACCATTCTTATGCCAGGCTGGGTCAACACAACAGCACCCTTTACCACAAATCAGTGGTATTTATTCTAGAAAATAACGCTCTGTTTATTCTATATACATTCCCGTGTTTGGTCGAACGTTGTTGTTTTTATACATGTACTTTTTTGTTTTCAATTTCAGAACAAGATACTAGTAGTCAACATAACTGTCTCGATCAAAGGTTCAAAATAAAAGAAAAAAAAGTTTTAATTGAGATAAATACTGTATGCGTTTTATTGATAAATACACTTCGAAGTATTGATAATGAACAGCATCAATTAATTTGACAAGCAAACGAACACGAGTCGGTTATTCAACTTTGCATCGTACATGATCAATATTAACATCGCCCCCATTTGACCAGGACGGGAAAATAGCAAATCGCCTTACCTGATTGGCTGGTAGCCTCATTACCGCCCAATATGGCGACTTGCTGTGCTCTTTGAAGATAAAGTATAACTATTTGTCTTCAATTTAGACTTAAATTATCACTTCTAAGTTTTGATAACAGCCGTTAGTCTCTTTATAGTTTCTGAAGTAGCCGTCTGCCAAGTGGACTGGAATTGTTTTACGTAATTTTACAGTGAGAGGCGATTTCATTTATATACATTCCGAGACTGTAGCGTCGATCTTGTTTTCATACCGGCTGGCTTGACATTGGAGCTACTTTCGCGGCTGATATCACGGTGAGTCCCGCACTAATTTTTAACCGGTACTTTAATTAGCCTTGTATTTCTCATTGCGTACGGTATATATCAAATTTAAATTTGTGCAAGTTTTTGCCGTTTTCGTGTCACTGTCGGTAAATGCATCGGTTGATGTTGTTTGACGAGTGACTCATTTAAATGCAACATCGCTAATGTTATGTTCACTATGATTTCACTACATACGACTTATCATAGAAGTTCGTCTAAAACATGCGGATTTCAGGATTCGTAATGTTACAAAACAAACACGTCTTTCGTCGAGATTTCCTGCTTGTTAGTTGAGAGAGGAAGGCCATCATGTTGACTCGCCGAACACCGGAAGTGTTTCCCCTCTAAATACTAATACACACAAAGTGCAAAGCGAATAGTACAATGTACTGTACAGGGTATTGTGATTTACTAAGTTAGTACTGTCACTAGTTCCGTTTATCCTCTGTCTCGCCACCTACCTGTTAATTGTGAAGCCTAACAAATCGTGCCTGTTGACACCTTTGTGTGTTCCTGCTTTTAATCTGGTATTACAAACTGCCACAGTACTCTACGGGCTACTTGTGATTTGGAAGTAGTCTGTGAGCTGGAAATGGCTATCCTGTTGGATGAGTGATAATTAGCTCTGACTGGTCTTGACTTGAGGCACAGGCCCTCTATCAGAGAAACTGAGATTGGGGTGACAGACTAGAGATAATGAGACTATGTGTACTGTATTATTTTTTTTTATATTTAATTCACAAACATAAACCGAGATTTTCATAGTTATGAAAAAAAATAATCCAACAATTTTATATACACATCAATATTATGATAATATTGTTATCATACCCATAGGATATTGATTTTAAAAGTATTATAAAAAAAAGTATATGTGTTACAGTGTATGTACAGTAGGTACATTTGTACCCAAAATGATTACTTTTGGTGCCATTCTTCTCCAAATCATAGACCCTACAATACGTTTAGGTCTATGTTCAAATCCAGAGATTTCTCTACATTAGAATTTACATTGAATTCCATGAATAATTAAAACATGTGCGTATAATTTGTTCATTAAAGGGGGGTGGAGGTGATATTTCTATTACTGTGTGCAAATATCACCTAGTGGTTTTCTTTGTTACATTTTTTTCACAATTGCAAATCTTTGTTTCGGGATGGGAAGGGGTTGATTGTTATTATGTTTCATTGTTTGTATATTTTAATTATACATGGTTTAGAGTCTCAATCGGGATACAATAGCATGACTATTATTATTTATTTTATAAAAATAAAGGAATGATTACAAAACACTTTCGTGTTTCTAACAATATTGACTCTCTACATATGTATTATGGCAAGAAATGCAAAGAGATCAAGGACATATGTTAATAACTTTATGTCAACTTTGATATTTCTTTGCAATATGTCAAAATATTAAATAACTACATGCAGTTCTTTTATTAATTTCTACTACTGTTTCCACCGACTCAGGTGTCTAGAATTGCTCAGACTGTTCAAATGTTTTTTGTTTGTAGTTCATACACAATTACAGATATTGAAGTGATTGTTTTCCCCATAATTATCCTTGTTTAAATTGTACACAGAGGCACTGACAACTACAATAAAGTGATAAACCACATACATGTATACCCTACTGTGTGATTCATAAAAAGATGCATGTATACATGTACCAATAAACACAGGAAATAATAATCAAAACAAGATAGGTGACATGGTTTTTGGTTTGGTCTATAAGTAGGGACTGCATGAAGATATACTGTATAATAGAGTAATGGGACTAGACATGTCATCTTGAGTCAGTCGCTTGTGATTTGTGTTTTAGTCTGTTCTCTTCTTTATTACTGTAGAATACATGTACATGTACTTTTATTTTAAATGGAATTTGTGTATTAGACTGCTGACTGTGTACAAATGTACTAGACTGGCATTTTGGCTGTTTTGTATGAAGGTTTAGTTGATTTTTGATGAGTTGAAATTGAATGTAAAATATGGGGGGTATTTTCACTGGATTTTATTTTCACTTTCAGAAAATAGCAAAAATTAATTCCAAGTGAAAGTAAAGTATTCCACAGTATTATGAATGATTCAACAGTAATCATAAGATATTGAATTCCAGGGTGACACATTTAAAGTGTGTCTTGTTTTGCATGTAACAATGCAGTGAAAAAAATAATCAGTAATCAGGCAAGCTCAATATAATTTATGTCTGCCATTCTGTGTTTAGTAAATAAAATGTAACGCAAATACCATTTTCAAAGTTTGCCACAAATGTTGTTTCAGTTGATCATCTATAATTCAAAACATTTCTCATTTTCAGCTGATCATATATCGCCCAGGGTGATTATTTGCCACATTTTTTCATCAATATTTCAATCCATCATATTCTAAATACAATAGTTATGACAAAGGTTGTAAGATCCCAAGAATAATGATGTCATTACAATTTAGACATCAGACAAGAATGAAATTAGTTCTAAAAATAGGCATTATTTAAAATTTTATGAAAAAAAATTAAATGTAATAATAAGCATTGGTTTTAATATTCTTTGTAAATAAAAGTAAAAACAAGTTTCAAATAAACACAAACACATTCAATTGGTTTTGATCACAGTAGTATAAACCAGATAAACAGGTGAATAACCCAATTTATTGCAAATGTTGATTACTCAGTTTGTAAGTTTGATATAAAATTCAAGTATAATTCAACTTATTTTCATAAAACAAATTTTGTTGGTTGCACGCAAATATTGCTGAATACTATGCAACACTGAATGAATGAGTGATGTATTGGAAAAATATGATAGGATTATATGAAAATTACATGTGTATAAATTTATATGATTTATTTGTTGATTTTTCTCAATTTACCTGTAATAGTCTGATAATTACATCATATTTTTTATGTTACCAGCTAAAAAATAAAAAAAGAGTGTACTCCTATTGATTCCATTGTTACTATGGCTTCTACTGAATATTTGCTTTGCAGATAACTAAATAGCGACAATTTAAAACAATTCTGCCATAAACTTGCCCTTTAAAGAACCAGAAAATAATAAATAAAACCAAAACAACACTTGTGTTTATGAGTGACATTTGAATTTAATTTGGTAACTCATGAAAAAACACATTGCTAGCTTCACTTGTCGATAAAATCTGCATTTTCAAAATCTCTCCAATGGTTTTTGCAGCCACTACAAAAGGAAAATAAAATACCCACTGCTCATCTTGTTTTCAAGCTAGTAGTATTCTCTAGCAGAGTGATTATAAAGAAATTTTTGCTCTTGATTCAGCTAAAAATAATTCTTCCAAGCTCAAGTTTTTGCCTGAAAAACATTTCGAAAGCATAGTACCGGTATGTGATATATATTTATTTTTATGTCAGCTGTGTCCTCATGGCTGTGTCAATACTTGCTTGCAGGAAAAGTCTATTGTTTCTTTTGGCCACAGTCTCACAATACCCCCAATTAAAAAAATCATTGCATCGTTGTTCTCATGACGTTTTATAATATTTTTGTCTGTGAAATAAGTGTTCATTTGAAAATTAAAAAAAATAGTGGAACTTCTCATAACTTTGCAATAAGTCATCCAATTTTCCTGTTGCATACATTTCTGTTCCTGTCTTTTGAAAGATTTTGAAAACTACTAATGCGATCACATTTCCAAATTGTCCAATACTTTTATCACCAGTCTCTTCTTCTCAACACATTA